ACTGAAGACAACTGCATAATATAGCTTGCTGAAAGAGGGAGTGAGTGTTGGAAGACTGTGGAAAGGCAGCAGGGAAGATAGCTGGGGCGGGAGAAAAAGAAGGAGGGTGAGCGAAAGACAATGGAGGCAAGGGGATGAGCGGGAGCGGATGAAGTATCCATTTTGCACCCTACAGGCTAGGGCGCTCTCCTAATTATAAACACAGGTCTACTGATAACAATTAATTACAGAAATCTATGCTAAGATAGCTTCTAACCCAGTGATGTAATGGAAGGTATACGTATGTATACGCCGTAAACTTAAAAAAAATAAATGTAGACTCTATAGTAGATCTACGAATTATGAAAATCGTCGACATTCATACGCTGCGCGTGGTGTTCCATAGAATTAATTTGTGTTGGCTATCCATATACGAGACTAACTTTTGACAAATCAAACGTACGTATTATCGACATTGATGATTGCGCATCCGCCTCCAAGGGCCGGCGGGGCGGACGTGGCGCGCGGCGCTTAGGCTATGCCAGTGTAGCGGTTTTGCTCTGTGCGACTGAACCGTGACTGTATGTTTACCGTATTCGTCAGTTATGTATATTTTGTTCAAGGTACACAACAAAATGCACGAAATGAATAAGGATATGATCTACTTGTACATTGCCTCTTTACCAAACAAAACATTTGGAGGTCTATGACAGTGTGTCTTATAAAAATCTGTATAAACAATTAAATTACCTCAGACACTTTATCATGATATTACATTTGATGAGTATTGCAGAAACTAGAACTAGAAAATCAATACTATGACAACGGCTTGATCATTTTTAGATTATTTTGTGTCTTGGTAGATTTAGATTATAGTTAGGGCTTATGCAAGGATTGGTCTGAAGATATGACTCACCAATGCTTCAAATTTTGATGCCTTTTGCCAAAACTTGCATTAAAATTTCGAGGTGATTTATGTGAAAGGGGAATTGATTTGTTGTGTTAGTTTCTTATTGTAATTTGATCTGGTCAGGTGTGGTCACTGGGGGGGGGGGGGGCACTGTGCTTTCCGCTGAATCACCACGCACCGGCGCAGCGCCTCGTCGTTTGGCTTGTTGCTTTTGATGATTGAGCTATCAGCTATAACGGGAGTATACCCACAACAATAATTTAACCACATCACAACACTGGCATTCACCAATACTCCGCCCTCGTCTTTCTGGAAACACTCGCCGATCAATGTTTTCACGGTCAAAACTCAGATCCGTATAGTTAGCGCACGCGATTTGGTGTATATTTCCCCACTGATTCAGTTACAAAAAACCACGGCGTATATATGTGAAAAGATGAAAGTATTGTGAGCAGTTTCCCCACTGCTCGTGCATGCCAGGACCAGTCACAAACTCCATGCAGAAAAGATGACACACCCGCTCAAGCTCGTCAGCTTGTGCGCGAAACTGTAGGCGGAAAAATTAGGTTTAGGCCTATCCGCTCCATAATCCATGATGATGATGATGTAATAACAAAAGACACATATATAGCCCTCAATGCTAGATAAGACAGTGATGTACAAGTGATTCCACGCGATATTGATTAACAGTGAAATAGACTCTCGATTCCTGCCTACTACCGAGGTGTACCACGTACAGATGGCTTTCTTGGTCATTTCTTCTTCCTCCTTTACGAGGACAGTGGCAGTTACTCTAAGTTCTACGCATCGGACGCTACTCATTAACGCTACTGGGTCGCATTTTTGCGCGGCGTATCGCGGGACGCTCTCGCGTGGAACAGGACGCCACTTGCAAATAGGCAGCGTTAGTAATATGGATTGCGCAGTTAGGCTTATAGAACTCATATGGCTTTGCGGCTATAGTTCTAGAGGCTAATGCGCAGTAGATCTTTGCGCGCCAGCGCGTGGATCGCCAACGGACCCAGTAATACAAAGATAGGAGCTTTACCTGGCCGATAAGGTAATTTTGATATAAGTAATAGATATAAGAAAGACGTGTAATCTTGCTGCAAAGTAGAACAACGTGCTAAGGCCTTATCTGCGCATTCAACCGCTTTGAAAACTTCACCTAGATCAAATGAAAACATTAGCAGCCACGTGGAAATGCCGTAGACTCTGGAAGCCCGCTTGAAAAGGCACACATTATTACTCTCATTGGTAAGAGATTCTAAATTTAAATTGTTCTTCCGTTTACACACATTTACTCTCACGGTCGAGCTATAGCGGGCTAGCACGATCTAATCCGGTAGGTTGTCATATGACAACGCATCGTCCTTAGTAAAAGACATGCTATATACGTAAGGAATTTAAATAGGACGAGGTAAAATAACATATGGTAGGAAGACCACAGCCGTTTCTATCCTCTCAGACACTACAATGACATGACAGACAATACATGCAGAAATACAAGCGCAGAAAAATTAGTAACTACATAACAACATTAATATTAACTTATTAATTATAATATAAATTATTAACATTAATATACACTTTCGAAATATATTATAACAAATTCAACAACATATTACAAGAATCATCTTAATTTACCTTAAATTTTCGTAAATACAGCTTAATATTTTAAAGAAAGAACATCAAGTAAGAAAATAAAAAAAACAATACTACAGATGCACGACTTCACATAGCGCAGTCATGATTAATTAGGAACAGTAGGACTGACTCATAACAAGTGAATAGAGCAGGTGAAATAATATTTGTAGGCAGAGCATATGCCATTGCCAACTAAATATCACTGGGCTGTCAGAGTCATATTATATATACCACGCATCACATCACATAGATGTCACACCTTTATATATATATAAATATATATACTATATATTATATATATATATATATAATTATATTATATATAGCGAATGCTATTAAGACAGGAAAGCATAAATTGCTAGCAGATCATACGCAGTTCCTATCATTCAGATAATCTACATTAAGCATGACAAGGACATATTACGCTGCATATACGTTATGTGTGTACTTTTCTTGCACATTCTCTGCTTCTCTTTAGTAAAGCCCTGTGACCACGTCAAGGTAGGACGCACCTGTTTAGGAATTTTTTTCAAGAAAGAAACCTTGATTGTTTAGGAGGAAGTGCGCAACAATATTTGCCCATGCGATCGTAATTCTGTGGTTGGTGTTGTAACTCGCCTTCATAGTAAATAAAATTATAGAATAATTAATAATTTAGATAATATATATATAGAAATCAGTCCAAAAGAATTGTAAATTAGTAAATAAATTGTTTAGTCGTACTCGACGTCAAGACGCAAGTGTCCCGTTTCCCGCAACTCCGGTTGATCGATCGAAGTCTGAGGTCCGGTCAAGCATAACCTGTATAATACCAGTCGTCATGTTACGCTTGACTGCGTTCGTCCATACACTGACTCTCTGACTGCGCTGACCTGCGCTACTCTGACTGCGCCTCTAGTTGAGTAAGGCCTAGCGGCCTGTTAACGAGCTGGAGCGGTGAATCATTTAACGTTAGGGTCAAGCATAGATATAGAATGAAGCATCCTCAGGTTGTAAGTATTTACGGATGACGTCATGCGACTGTACCGTCACGGTTTAGAAGTGCGCATGCGCCCAGCAACACGCCACAGAAATTACTAGGGGAGTAGGGACTTGGTACTTTGCCTTGCGGTACTAACAAGTTACAAGTTACAGGTGGTATTTATATATTTATATTGGCCAGCTGCCGGCTGGTGCCAACACGGCGCGAATCGCCAACCAGCGTTTGGGGTACCGGTTGCCTGACATTCTTTCAGCACTCAGCAGTCTACTTTACGTCTTTAGCTCAGAAAACGGTCGGCTACAGTTAGCCACAATTTCCCATTTCTCGTCTGGCGTGTACGTGGCGTGTATGCCTACTGGCAGCAAGATCAAGCCGCCACGTAACAGCACACTCGCGGCCGCCATTGGACGTATATTATATACAACAATATATATATATATATAGTTTGTATATATATATAGTCAATGGGCGCCGCGGGTTGTGCTGTACGTTTGCGCGAGCCTTTGATCTTGCTGGCAGAAGTGCAGTAGATATGTGGCGTGTACGTGCGTTGCATTTCATTCCCATCTACGTACCGAGTTACGTTCGTGTAACAGTCGGAGAGCCTGTGGTCGTTTAGGCTACAGTTAGCTCTAGCTCAAAAACGGGTTATTGCTAGGGTATTAGAATACCCCTAGATTTATTAATAAATTAAATTTATTTATTAAATTTTAAAATTATTTAAAATTAAATTATAATTAATTAATTTAAATAATTAGAGGCTTGGTATAGACAATCCGTCGCCACAGCCTGGTCGGGCTACAGTTTAGCTTAGTACTATAGCCCGCGCTCAGTTCAGGCAACTGTACGCGGGCTATAGTTTACTAGAGCTAGCTAGGCTACAGTCTACTTGTGCTTTGTAAATTGCAACTGTAAATAGTCGCGATAACCGAAAAACGGCATGCACACTGTTCCCTTCTCGCTTAACACTACTGTTGGCTTACGCCGCGTCCTACGCCTTTTGTAAGGCCCGCTCTCCACACGCTGCACGACAGCATTCACAGCAAAACACAGCGTCCGTTTGTTGCTGAAAAAAAATTGTGATTTCGCGCATTGTGTTCACTCTGGTTCAGTAATCAGAAATTAAATTATGCATGTGCTTGTTGTCCATTGTCTGATGGTAGCGTGAGCAGAACACGTGATAAAAAAACAATCGCGTTGATTGGTTCAATTGTCTTTTCGCCGTCACGTCAGCCGGCAAAAGTCAAACTCATTTGACTTTCGCCGTCGCCGTGAAACCCGGCTGGCGCCGTGCCGTGTCAGTGGAGACTGCGCCATAAGATATAATAGATTTGAACTTTGCCGGTAGGGGTGAACAACGCCGTTTCCGTGGCGTTCCGCGCCGCGCCGCGTGTGTGGAGACGGGCCTTAACAGTCGGAGAGCCCGGTCGGTTTAGAAAAACGGTAACATCTCAGTTGGCCTAATCCTATTTCGCCTACACCAATTTTGACTCGCAGCTAGGGCCTGCATACCTCGACCTCGGTAAATTTTACGTTGCTGGGAAGATCGTAACTCTTACTGGGAGATACGTCGTGTTGGGGAAAGGTTACGACGTCCCAGCTTTGGGATAGTCCTTACTATTTATTATCTATCTGACTGGGTACTCCTAATGATTTTTATAGTTGGTGAGTGCCAGCAACGGTAAATTATACACAAAGTATATGTTATTCACACATTAATATTTTTATGTAATTGTCAATATTGTGCATGGTGTACTGGGCGAAAACAGCGTGCTTGTTATTGTAAGTTATAGTGTAAACATGTATTGAAAATAAATACATATGTTTTCTAGTTATCTCTCTTGCTTTTTGTGGTAAAGCTACAGATACAAGCATATCAATATAAATTATAACATGTACATATGAGCATTAATTGCACCTTGATAATTCACTATGAAAAGTAATATAATGTGCTACTTTCTAATAATGACATATTTTAATGAGGTTCTACACCAACTATAACAAGTATACTTTGCACTTAGATCTATAGTTATTTTGTTACTCTGTCACATAGCATGCCATTGTTGCATGATTATTTTGCGCATTAAAAACCTTATTTTTACCGCATTTTTAGAAAGGCGTGCAGAGACTTTTACAAACAAAATGGCTTCAGAGGCTTCAAAGGTAGGAGTACAGTCTGAGTAGGCTTCATAGATGATCAATCAAAAACCAAAGAAAACCACTACAAAAAGACAACGTGTTGAACTATAATGGCACATGTAAACTCGACAGCTGCTTGTCTTGCAAATGTTATACACTTGTAATGAATGGTAGAGCTTCTTGCCATTGACATTGTTCCGTCCCCCAAGTTTCATTGTGTCAAATGGCGCTTATATTTCTCTAACAGGAGACGAAGCTGTGGGGTGGTCGATTCACCGGTGCAACAGACCCGATCATGGAGAAATTCAACGCGTCAATTGGTTATGATCAGCGCATGGCACAGGCTGACATTGAGGTTGGTCGGAAAAACTTCCGCAGAGTTGCATTAATCAACCGGTGTCTAAGAAGAACGTTGCTGGAAAAGATTTCTGCATGAATTACAGGGAAATAGAGATTCTCTTACACTGACTGTGTGAATGAGATATTCTTCTTTTTACACTGACTGTGTGAATGAGATATACTTCCTCTTACACTGACTGCGTGAATGAGATATACTTCACCAGCTGCGTTTGGTACCGTTGCCTGACACATTACTTTCCAGCACTCAGCAGTCTACTTTACGTCTTTAGCTCCAAGAAACGGTCGGGCTACAGTTAGCCACAATTTCCCATCTCGTGGCGTGTACGTGGCGTGTTAGTCCGAGATTCCTCTGACCAATACCCACACCGACGATTTTGGTGGTTTTGGTGTGGGTTAGGTCAGAGCAACTTCCCTATGCAAAACGTTTGCATAGGGAACCAATTTAAACAATAAAAACTAAGCAATAATAAAATTTAAGCAATAAAAACCAATTTTGGTGGGCTAACCCACACCAAAACCACCAAAATCGTCGGTGTGGGCATTGGTCAGAGGAATCTCGGACTAGTGGCGTGTATGTGGCGTGTACGTGCGTGCATCTCATTCCCATCTACGTGGCGTGTACGTCGTGTAACAGTAGGGGAGCCTGGTCGGTTTAGGCTACAGTTAGCTCTAGCTCCAAGAAACGGTATTGCTAGGGTTAGAATACCCCTAGATTATTAATTAAATTAAATTAATTTATTAAATTTAAAATTATTTAAAATTAAATTTTTTAATTAAATTAATTTAAATAATTAGACTTGTATAGACAATCCGTCGCACAGCCTGGTCGGGCTATAGTACTAGAGCTAGGCTACAGTCTACTTGTGCTTTGTAAATTGCAACTGTAAATAGTCGGCATAACGAAAAACGGTAGCCACAAGTTCCCTTCTCGCTTAACACTACGTTGGCTACGCCGCGTCCTACGCCGTGTAAAGGCCCGTCTCCACACGCGGCACGACACATCACAGCAAAACACAGCGCCGTTGTGCTGAAAAAAAATACATTGTAATTTCGCGCATTGTGTCTGAGCGCATTGTGTTCACTCTAGTTCAGTGATCAGAAATTATGCATGTGCTTGTTGTCTATTGGCTGATGGTAGCGTGAGCAGAACACGTGATAAAAACAATCGCGTTGATTGGTTCAATTGTCTTTTAACCGTCACGTCAGCCGGCAAAAGTCAAACTCATTTGACTTTCGCCGTCGCCGTGAAACCCGGCTGGCGCCGTGCCGTGTCAGTGGAGACTGCGCCAT